GGTTTTTGTATTAGACCCGTCGTCCATTTATTTGTAAGTCAATGGTTGTATGTCAATAATTACGGATTTCGGAAGCATGCACATGTCAAAAGTTTAATAAATGGTTGGACGGAGTATAGTTGACGCGACTGTCAACTTTAAAAAGAATTCCATTGACGGTTACCAGTTTTAGCAACAAAAAGGCCCAGTTTACGATTGACTTTCGAAATCCATGATCATTGGCAATAGTAAAACTGACGCTGGATGACTATGGAATCACAGTACATTTACTCAAATATTTTGTATGTCCGTAAAAATATACAACATTTCATTAAGAAGAAAGATGAAGATGTCCATAATATTAAACTTAGAACTAAGTCTAAACTCATGGTTCCACGATTCGTTTAACTAAGGTAAACGATCTGTATACGTTTTTACAATAAGATTCCGGAGATCATTTCCTAAGGTTAAAGCCTACATTAAAAATATTTTAATTGAAAAGTCATATAAAAAATTAAAACGTGTCAGATAAAGATGTATGAAAAGACGACATGAGTCTAGATTTCATTGAAAGTGTATTCCGTTGCGTTTCTTGATCGTTCTTCTTAGGAAAGTCAGCACAGTGAATGAGCAGATTAAAAAATGACGTTTTCAAGTGATAATTTATTTTACCTATGAAATAAATGATTATTTGACTTTGACCTTGCTGCGGGGGACGGAAAGGGAGTGTAGTCGTCAGTCAGCACCAGCGGGTATATAATAATAATAATAATAATAACGCACACACTCGACATAGCCCCGCACTAGGGAAACCCTGTGTCGCGGGTGCTATGGACACACAAATAGATAATTACAAATTACACCCAAACTCACGAGACTAATGAATGTAGGCCATACAAATATTTCTCCCGGCCCGGGAATCGGACCTGGGACCTCTGCATGGCAGTCCGGCATGGTAACCGTTCGGCCACGGAGGCAGTTAAACCAATAATATATATAATATAATAACCAGAAATAGAGACAAAATAAGAGCCATCCATCCCTGGCAAATGGACCTTATATCACTTTTAAATACCAACTCTCGTTTGCACTAAAATCACAAATTAGAAAGCTGAAACAGGACAGCGCCAACAACTGACCTGTGTGTACTTCTCCGTATATTCCAAAAATATTCTGTATTTATTGTAATAAAGATAATATCTCTAACTATGGGAGGGCTGTTCTAATTACTAAACAAAAGGAATCACATTTCATCGGTAATTAAATTTTAAATATGTAATTTTGCAATTTTCGTCCATTATAGCAAAGCACAATTTAACTGATCGATTTGAAGTGAAACAGTTGACGACACCCGTCAATTGTTTCGAACTCGGGCTAGCCAATCGGAACGCAGTTGTCACCGTAATGATTTGGCAGAATAGTTTTCAAACAAATAAAATTACATTTCGTCTCTATTTCTGGTTATATACTTCGATGGTCAGCGCGTTGCGGTTGCCGATAGGGGAAATTGACAATTTGAGACAGTCGGCACAAACTTGCAAGTTTCCAGTCGTGGCAATTAGCAATTTATTTAATCACAGATTTCAGTAATCAAAAGCTGACCCACAAATCTACTAATTTCAAATCATATCAGTTGTGTGGCTAGCCTTGTAGACATCGAGCTCCTATTTAACAGTCATTGCAATGTTTTTGTAAAAATACTTTTAATTTGAAGACTAAATTGATGCTTAAATGAGATAAACATTAACACATACATAGTAATTTCCATAGTAGTTTTAGTAAGGCAACATCGATCGTTAGTGATTGATTGAATTCCTCTGTCATTCTTTTGGGACTCAACTGCCATTTCAACTTTAAGTAAAAGGCAATTATTATCATAGTTAAAATAAATAACGCACACACTCAACATAGCCCTGCACTAGGGACACCCTGTGTCGCGGGTACCATGGACACACACATAGACAACCACAAATTACACCCAAACTCACGAGAGAAGTAATTGTAGGCCATACAAATATTTCTCCCGGCCCGGGAATCGAACCTGGGACCTCTGCGTGGCAGTTCGGCATGGTAACCGTTCGGCCACGAAGGTAGTTAAATAAAAAAAAATAGTTGCAATATTATCTCAGTGGGGTCACAATGGAATCACAACTACTAGTTGTTTGAAGAAAATTAGCATAATTGGGACCCTGTTGTCCATTACTGAAACTCTCCACTAAAATAACTACGTTTCATGAAACTATATGGAAAACGTCATAAACAGGTAGTTGCGGGCTGCCAGTTGCTGAAACTCTGGGATCAAAATTGCTCCACCGTATAATTTCATGAATTAGTCCAAACGTAATATTTTTACAAAAGCAACAGTAATAGCTTTATTATTACTTAAATGATGAGGGAACAAAGATTTTTGCTCTGTCCCTGGATAAGGTTTTAATTCCGGTAGGACTAATTTGGAAAATTAACTTTTGTCAATTAGTTATGGATCTTGGTGTATCGTGTAATGCTCGAAATGAACCCCGTTGCTCTAATACTCATAGTAAAGGGAATTCCCAAGTTTGAAAGTAGGTAACTGTTGCGAACGCAAAGGAATTTTTGTAATATAACTTTCGAAGGGAACTAACTATAGGAGGGTTCTATTTTGAACCAATCAACTAACACCACATATACATGTTATTTCGTCCCTACCACAATTTAAGGAACTTTTCGTACGAACTAAAAAAAGGTAAAATATGACGTTCACTTTTGAATTGTACTTCCAAAAGAAATCACCACTGTTTAGCGATTAATGAATGACACTACTCTTGTAAACCAGCAACCTATTGCCAATATATTACAGTCAACTTATATCATCTTTAATTTTACGAGTTCGTCGAGATCCTCTATATCTTCTACTTGGGTCTGACGGCTATAGTAACTGATGGGGTTATCTGGCAAATTCTATACTCACTACAACTTCTAACAATAAAAATAAATATAAAAAATTCATTGTCATCTTTTCTTTATTTTTTAACCCACTTCAAAAAAAATTAAGGAGGTTCTCAATTCGACAATATATTTTTATGTATAAGTTACGTATTTACTCCGACGTTTGTGAACCGACTTCTATAATTCTTTATTTTGTTGGAATGAAGTATTGGTCCCATTTAATTATCTCTGAGGATGGTAAACTAGGGATGAGTCCGGTTGCGCGTAATTTCCGGTAACCGATTTCAATAAAACTTGTCAAAAAGATATAATTCCAATAACTTTTGAAGACGGTTTTTCTTTTATAATAAATTTATTTAGTGAAATACTTACATTTGCAACTACAAAAAATATAATTATGATAATGTAATGTAATGATAATGTACTACATAATATATAAATCACTCATAAAGTAATATTGTTGTTTCTGTGTACTATAGCCAATTTGCCGTTCCTAATTATTTCTACGTTAGGTGATACATCTTTCACATTGATACAAAAGAATATAATACAATGGATCTATTTTAGAACCTATTATAACCTTATATTATTAACCTTTATTTCTAACGAACACTAAATTATCTACATTTCACGTCAGAAGTACTCTTGTGACATGAAATGTATGAAAATAATACTATCTAGATGAACAAGTTTTGCACATAATGTGTGAAAGTTTTCTCACTTGTTTAAGCATAAAAAACTAATCGAGACGATGTCATTTTGTAGATGTGGCCTTATTCCATCGAGAGTGCAAATTTATACGATATAAATTTAGTTTGTAAATGTACTATAATAAAAGTCTTTTTCACAGTATTTATCAGTATAATCAATCAACAATAGATGATTAACAGATTGGTTACAACACAATTAAACTTAGCTAATATGGCTGCTCCCTCCTTGGCTGCTCCGAGCAAGGCGCTCCCAAAACCGACCAAAGACAATATCTCTCCGATCTCTTAAGACCTCTCACCGACGTGAGTTTCAGCCGAACCCAACCAAAAACCCTATTCGCCGAAGCTGCCACTTTTTCGTTTAACATTCCTTAGTTATTTAGTTTATTCCACAGAATTTATACTCAAAACTACAAACATAACCAGTTTCGATCGGTCTTTAACTGAGCTATTTTTAACACGTGCTTGAACTTCGTCTTTTTGGAATAAATCATTTCCAGATTATAACGGTAAAAAGAAATCAGAACAGCGCGAGGAAACTAATTTGCCAGAGAAGAATCTCTACCAAGGGAAAACCGCTTTGAGCTTTAGTTCATTTATAACCTAAGACTTTCTCTGAGGATACCTTTTCTCTATCAAACAGAGATCTGACTGAATAATTAATTAATGTACGATATTTCTTTTTCACAGGTGAATGCGCCCCAACTCTAGCACCCTGGAAGGCAACCAATGAGATAACGACTAGTGAAACCATCCACCGCCATCGCAACGATATCAACAATCACGCCATCTATGACATAAACGACATCGTCCATTTTGAAGATAATGATCTTGTAATGCGTGATTCGAAACACGATAATAACCGCCTGGATAATTCTGTTGAACAATTTAAAATTACTAATAAAATTACAAAAATGCAATTAAAAGATGATGGTAAAAGGAATGACGTAATCAATGACGTTGATAATGAATCAAAAGGTGATGAGATAGCCAGGATGCAAGAGGATAATAAATGCGAATGCCAACATGGCGGCGGATGTGTCGGCAAAGTTTGTCTATGCCCGCTTGGATATGCTGGAAAGAGATGTGAAATTACTTTGGATCTGAAGGTGAGTAGAAACTTTTATATTTATTATTACTTTGATATTTATGTATGTATAATGTATGACAAGGAACAAATGTGGAGTTCTTAGGTTTTCGCGATTGTTACATATTCATATATGAAACTATTATTTCGGGTGTACATCGCGTATATTTGTTTTTGTACATTTGTTGTGTCAAACAAACCAACGTTTCGGACCCTTTACAGGTCCCAAAAAAGCCGTGACCATGGAACCTGTAAAGCACCCGAAATGTTGATTTGTTTGTAAGAACAAATATACGCTACTTAGATCCAAGAAAATAGTTTTATTTCCTAAGAAATAAACGGTTGTGAATTTGTTTTGATCATACAGAGTAAACTAAAGCAATAGTAAAGAAAACCTCAGTGATTATATCAGAATACATACATCATCATGCCTGTCTCCCACCGAAGTAGGCAGAGACCGTGAACCTCCACCTGCTACGCTCCTAACCTCTCTGGCCTTCTCCACACACATGCCCGTTTATTCTTGGCACTTTTGACCTGGCTTTTTTTGAGGCCATCCCCAAACTGATTGAGATATGTACGCCGAGGTTTGCCTTTCCCCATACCTCTATCCACAATAAATGGGTGCCATTAATCTATCAACATTCCCCTCTCTATCCTTATCAATATATCATCTTTCATACCACAACGCTATCTTATTACACAGCTCAGCACGACTAAGATCCGAGACGTCGACTGCATGAAGTTGATAACGACTTCACGCATTAACTGTATGCAGTCGAAACCGACTTCATGCAACCGAGATCGACTGCATGCAGTTAATACGTCGACTCATCCGTAGAACAAAGACCTATGTGCAAGATGCTGCTTATTCTCGGGATATTGTACATTTCGTTTGTTGTTCTTGACTGCGTATATCCACAGTCAAGATCGACTGTCGTTCGATTTTATATTTCCGAAACGAAATAATAAGTTCATAAAAAATCTGAAAACACCTTTATACAGGCCTTTTGAATAACGAGATTATGTTTTAACCTCTTTTCGCTGTATAATCACATCACACTTTGTTCTTCGGAGGAATCGACGTGAAGTCGTTATCAATTTCATGCAGTCGAAGTCTCAGCTGCATGAAGGTGATTATAACTTCACGCATTAACTATAAACATGCTGTCAATCGAATCGAATAGCAGCAGAAATACCGACAGACAAACCCACATATTGCGCAAAGTTCTCACTTATATCAGAACTTTAGATATTAATATACCCAATTTACATACCATGATGCCTATACCTCGTTGGAATATACAATGACCTTCCTCTTCGTTCGCTCATGACACACGTCTATCTAACCTTCTTCTAGCTTCGACAAGCACCACATAATGGCAAAATACATACTTTCTAATAGAGCAAGGGTAAATCTATCAGCAGATTCGAGAATCTTCTCTTCCAAAATTTAAGGCTCTCGTCGGTTTCGCAAACTCTATTATGTTCTGTGTAAAGCTTATATATTATTTAATTTCTAATAGTAGCTATTTACGAAGCACTTAAAGTAAATGTAATAATAGACAAAAAAAACTTATTGTAAAAATTTAAATACTGGAAAGTTTATAAGTAGAAAATATCCTAGAGGGCCACGCCTTGGGGCTACGTGCCCAGAAGGTTGGCAACATTTCCCCCTTTTGAATAGCTAAACTAATACTTTGGCGGAAATAACTGCCAGTTTTGTGGTCAACGAAGGCTTCTACGAGGCGACCTCTCCCGTTCGCTAGAAGATTTTTTTATGGCATGCATCCATTACAGTTGCAGTGCCACTCAGAGCTTTAAATCGCAAAGATTTGAGACTCACTACTGCGCGCGTCACCCTGAGACATAAGTTGACAAGTCCATTGTGCCTGTAATTTCATCACAACCCTTATCCTTCAGGACCGGAACGGGATAATGTTCACATTACTGCTTGACGGCAGAAATAGTTAAGATGGTAGTAAGTCCTTGAACGAACTTTTTGATAAGGAGCTCTGCTTTCGCCTGTAACCCCCAGGGACCAAGGTTTTCAACCGCAAAAAGCACAAAACTGTAGCACTGAGCAAGGTTGGCGTTTTCGAGCCTTTTGCGGTTCTGGGCCCCCACCTACACTTGCAAGGACAATGGGAGCGGGCTACAGTGTCCTTGTGTGTAAAGCACTATTTTACACAATAAAAAAACGCGTTTCAAATATAAACAAAATTACCAGCATGGTCCTTCTTTTAAGTATGAACATGTATCAGGAAAAAACAACACAAAAAACACATATAGCTCAATGGGATGACTGTTGTTCACATTTTTTTTCAATTATAATAATGGAATAGTACATTTGTATACAGTAAGGTATGGTAGAAATAATGTTCTATCCAATTATGTATATGTAATATAGTAAATGTAGTACTCTACCAAACCTACCCTCAATAAAAAGAGAAATCTTAATTAAATATGCTTAGAGAATCCATCCATCCACCATGTTACGACTCTTGTCGCTTCTAGGGCTGACTGTAAAATAACAGCTGTTACACATGACACATATGTTTCAATAATGCATTAGGTTTGTATTATTCAACACGTGGAAGTGATTCTGTGGCCGGTTTTAACATTTGAAAAGCAGATTTCGAGAAGCTTGTTGACAAATGTTACAGTTATAAAGCCGCTGATCGCTTTAAAGATTTTCATTTTAACTTTCATGTTTGTTAAGAAGTCTTTTGAAAAGATTTATTTTATGGGTACTATGAAAGTAAGATTAGATAATCAGTGATATTTTCAATTGAAGACACTAGATCACGTGGGCGAAAGTAACACATATACTTATATTTCCATATCGAAACTGGTATTCGTTCGTTCCTTTTCAATACTAGTTTGGTCAATACAAATATAAATTTGCAGTTGCCAATTACTGAAATGGAAGGGTTTTAAGCCTCGATTACTGTTAGAACCGCTCTGTTGCCAAAACACATACTATCCTAAAATAGTATTAATCAATATCAATAACATCATCAATCAAATAGTATTAATATCAGAAAATTGAAAATTTATTAAAATTAAATAAATTAAAACTTAAGTATGATATAAAACACCATCAAGGATAATAATTATAGGTGGGACTATCATTTTTGTACTCCAGCAAAAATCATAGTAAAATAAGAACGCGTTGCCATCATGTCGTAACGTTTTATGTATTTGTCGTTAGACGACTGTCGCGTCTAGCCTGTTCCCATATCACGACTATCTCTCGTGACTGTGTCGTGGATGTTTGTTTTATCATTGAACGACTGTCGTATCTAATTGTTCCCAATAGATCGTAACGACAATTTATCGGTTCCCGGCAGCTGCTTTGTCGTTTGCTCGACAGAAACGTTTGAAGCAACGACTACCTGTAGTCACATTGTTATCGTGACGTTTTATTTATCGTCTGACGACTGTCGTTCTAGCTCTTCCCATTATCACGACAGTCGGTCGTCGTAACATTAAAAAAGCCATGAACGACATTTATTCGTGTTTTACTATATGTGAACAACTTCATTTAAATATAGGTATAAGACACGATACTTTAAACTGTACGACTATCTGTCGTCACGATATTATACGAACGCGCCCTAAGGCATTTCTCCACGATTTTCGAGGTTTTACGTGAGATTATGGACACAATCATAACGTACAAGTCTAAATGGCACGGACTGATCTCAAGATCGCGAAACTCCGCGTACTGTAGGCACAAACACGTGAGACACCCAGTGAGCACTACTGTTGTATTTATTGTTCTATGAATGTCAACCTATGTCAATGACGCCAACTAGAATAAAAGAAACTACCATTACTAAATACGCGCGTAAATATGGTGGTGATTAGACTGGAGAAATATTGTCTCATCTCTACCTATATTTGATTATAAAATATTTATATATAAAGTATACATAAAATAATTTCCATATTTTTAATTCTGGAGTGGCTTCTTTGTTTTCTTACATTTCATTCTTGAATTTATTAATGAACCTGTCAAGGCCGTGTTTTTGTAAAAACTTCTTAACGATAATTTTCGTTAATTATTTAGAAGCACTGTTTGTTGAACACTCGCCTCTGGAAAAACTTGAAAGTGTGATAAAATAAAAACATAATAAAAACAAACATTATTAATTTCTACCCCCATTCAATTGCGAGTTACAAATAGAACTTACAGAGGGTACTACAAAAGGAAATGGGCAACATTGTCAGGTTGTACGTGAGATTTCATATACATATATTGTAATCGAGCTGGTGTGGCAATAATGGCGAATTTTGTTTTTGAGCACATCAATTTATGTCTCAGGGTGACGGGCGTAGTGTCAGTACACTTCAGATCTTTACTATTTAAAACGCACTGCACCTGTTATGGACAGGCATGTCGCTTACCACCAGACGCACGAGTTGTTTGTCCCGTCACTTAGAACCGTAAAAATAAATGTAACTGCACTTCTAGGTACAGGTCTGTTTTATTTGAGTTTCGAGTCCTGTGTCGAAGGAATTTTTATTTGTTTCTCGTTTCTTTGTTCTTTAATTATTGGACAAAGTTGTGTAACTCCCCCTGCATCAGTTGTTCATCAATGTGTATGATACCATTTTCCAAGGTACAGAACTAAAGTTGTTTATTTATTGATAAAAATACCGCAACAAGGTTTAGGGTTTAGTATAATGTTAATCTGCAAGATCTGACAACTCCCTTCCAACTTTCCTTTCAAAACACAGCTGGGCCCTGATTTTGATTCAAACCGGAATCTATCGGATCGGGTAGTCTCGAAATCAGATGAGTTTCTGAGCGAGAAGATGAACCTGATTCCTACTATATCTTTCTAATTTGTGAGTTAAATCAACTATTGTTCCGATTAGAAATGTCAAAAGTTTCCGATCGGGCAGTTGTGAATCGTAATTATGCGCCTCGACTCGGAAAAGACGCAGTTTCCGATCGGGGGAGGTAATCAAAATCAAACTGCTGGTGGTGCTGGTGTTGAATAATCTTGTTTTCCAGCCGGCTTTCCGCACAAAGTAATGACAGTGCGGTGGTATCTCTCTCTCTGACTTAATTTGCTGTTTGAACCTCTGTTTCTATTCATTTCTACAGGGACTTAAATGACAACGCATATACTCAGCCAATTAATAAGAAACTGTGATTCATACGGTAACATGAAGCCGGATAAAAAAATAATGCCATCACTACCTTCCTTAATACATTTGTCGCCGGCTAGAATTTACAAAAATGTTCAAAAAATTACATTGGCTTATATAATTCTTTTTGGTCTCGTTTGTGTATATATGATTTTTCGCGATGTTTCTATCGTAATGTAATATACGACGTACGTAATTCTTAATTATTACGTTTAAACTGCGCCGCATTAAAACAGATATAATTTATTTTAATGAGTTACTGAGTCAGTAAAGTCGATCCTATGAGGCAATACAATTTTTATTGCATCAAATGCATCATTGAAATGCGTCATTAAACGTCAATTTAACATCTTTACTAAAAAATCCGACTATACACTGCGTTGCCAACTTATCCACTTTGTCACTAGACTAAGCGACATTTTGCCATCGAAAGCGACATTTTATTTCTATTTAACAAATTTTATAATTAATTTGTTTTCAACTTTTAACATTAAATATAATTTTGTCTTAGCTACTACCTTTGTGAACGCGCTACTCAACGGTAGGTTTTTTTATTTCTGATGTATTTATTGGTATTTCATCTGTGCTTATGACCATAAAGTTCATGCCAATGAAATAAACCTTACAAGTAATAGGCGGAACAATGTGTTCAACATATAGCTACAAGGAGCGACATAGAGTTGTTAAAACCATCAAATATTAATTACTTTTTCGAAATCCGGATTTCCGGAAATGGCTTTACTGCATCGTAGGACAAAAGTACTGACCTAGGAAGGCGAAGTTGAATTTTAAAGTAATTCTCATGGTAAATGCTATAGATAACTTACCTTTTGCCAAAGCAGAGCATAAAAAAGTAACGAGAATGGTCACTCTCCGACCTTCTCTAGCTTTAGATACCGCACCGCGCCCCGCATATTGACGGACGCAATGACGGAACTGCAACAAACAAGGCTGTCAGTAATCTACTGCATTTTTTTTACATGGTGCCATTAGAATTACTTTAAAATCTTACCTCGACTGCCTAGGTAAGTAGTTTGTCCTACGAAGCAGTAAAGCTATTTCCGGAAATCCGGAATTCAAAAAGTAATTAATTAATATTTGGTGGTTTTAACAACTCTATGTCTATATATCTCGGCAATCATTGGATTTCCGAATACACACGAATAATAATTTCCATGCCCATCAATTATTACATTTAAAATCTATAATAATCCGAATTTTGAACAACGTAGGTACTTTATCGTTGTTTGTTTTGATTTCCGCGTGAATTATATAGAGGTGTATTTTCTATTGTATTTTTAATATAATAACATTTACTCCATCTCAATAAGCAAGTTAATAAAAATATTAAGTAAAACAAAGAAAAAGTAACTGATTTATCTTTTTTATCATATTCTTTTAAAATATATTTACTGTTCCAATTCTAACACCACAAGCTACAGAAACACGTTTTACAACTTTTTCAAAATAACCATTGATGTCTTTCTTGAACGTATCGGATTCTTGTAAAAAATACATGTACACGCTGTAAATTATCTGTCATGCCTGTGACTTTAGCGGCTTTCCTCCCATTTGATAACAAATAAAAAATGAAATAGCTAATTAAATAAATAATTTTACCTTTCAGATTGATTAATACATATTTTGTTGTATGTAACAGCTAATTTCCCCCTAGGCAGAATGCGTACAAATGACACGAGTTTTATGGTAGATGTCATGACGTGCCCTATATTAGAGCCGATAATTGAAGTACTTGTCGATAATGTTACTTACATTATTATTCATTACATTATATCGTCTATTTAAAGGTAAAACCACATAAGTGACTTTTTCTAAAAAAGTTTTTAATTTGTATAGCTATGGTAAGAAAATCACTATCTTCCTGCAAATGAAACTCAATAACAAAAAAGCTATAAACTTAATAAGAGTTTTATCTGCATAAAGGTGAAGAAATTCACTGGTACAATCAATATAACTTGTACATAATTTGGAGATTTTTTGTGGAAAATTAAAAACCTTTAAGCAAACGATGTAATCTAAGCCTTTTTTGTTTTTTTATTAGACAGCCATCAAATACGTTGCTCTGATCCCAAAGTAAGTAGCTAAAGCACTTGTGTTATGGAAATCAGAAATCGAAAACACAAACACACAGACCCGAGACAACATATAAAAGTTAGTTTTCAACACCGATCCGGCCGGGGATCGAACCCGGGACCTCAGAGATAGACAACGAGACGACACCATGAAAACCGATGTGCAAGCCACTCGACCACGGAAGCCATTTGGTGTTATGAAGGCGTAACTGACATATGAGGTAAACGTCGGCACCCATTGATGGGACGGCATGGTAAGGGATCCTCAGGCATTCGTCATTTCGTAGGTTGATTAATATGTTTGTAGTGCGGTGAGCGGAGGGAAGGTGCGTAGATGATTAAGAAGAAAAGGCAAAAACAAATAGTTCTTACGGCTAGGGACACAACCGTGTGTCTCACTGACGTGAAAGCGCAAGGTCCAGTGCCGAAACAAAGGTAGCTGTAAGTAAGGACCGAAACGTCTCAATAACTTGAGAACCTTTTAGTGCCATACAAATGTTGTAGCAGTAGAAAACTTCATTCATTGTATTTCATTTCATTGACAACACAAAACATATGAGTTGACTTATACTCTACTGAAGTTAACAAAACGATAGCACGTTTCAGTTTACAAGTAATGCCATCTAGCGGTGCCACGATGGAATTAATTGTGTGTTGAAGTTGTGGTTGTTACATGTTTAAATAATATCGTTATTTAAAATTGCTTTTGTTTCAGGTGCCTCGTTTCAACGGCTCTTCATACCTTCGGCTGCCTGGGCTCGGAAACTCCGCGCAAGCGTGGCTGGATATACAGGTAATAACATGTTTCACAAGTGTGAATCATCACACATATTACAATTAGCTGGTTACAAAAAGCTTCATTTTCATGTAATGGCAGCACTTGACATAGACATTTTTATTCGCCATTGTATGTTTGATGTATTTGAAAAAATATTTGACATACAGACAAATATATTGTAAACACTGACAAATATAACCGTCTACACATGGAGGCAAATAAGGAGTTAAAATAATGTATATGACCATAGCGTGGGGGGTACACTTGCGTATTTACCTATTTGGCTCCTTTGATGTGCGTCGAGAAAATGGCTGGCGCGCGGTAACGCGAGTTTGGTGTTTGCTGTATTTGTCGAATAGGCAAACAAGGCAAATACTTTGTCACACATGGTGAGTGTTTGCCAAACGATATAAAATACAAATAGTCATGTGAAGAGCCACCATGAGAAGAACGAAAATGGTATTGTGCGTTTCGCATGGACTGCGAGGTCCGAGTTCTTTTTCGCTTTTATTGGATGGAGCATAAAGCCTTTTCTAATCGGTTCAAGCCAAGTCTGAGTTAATAAGTGTGATAACTTCCTTTAATCAACTTTATCATGGCTATTAACAAGTTTAGCGCAGAACTTTAAGATTTCCGAATACGGAACAATTCTTTTTAGTTTATAAGGATTATAAGGATATAAGAGCCTTGATTTTAACATATAGTCTGTCTTTTTTGAAGACGGAGTAAAATGACAGTTCATTGCGCGAAAGTGTTGCTAATGATTCCAGTCGATAAATATTCTATCGGCTTTAGATTGAATGTTCGTCCCGCTTATGCAATAAACAGCCGAACTTGTTTCAATTTAATCATCATCGACTCATTATTCATCCAATTACTGGACACGAGGTCATTTAAATTGTCAATTTTTGTAAGTTCATACATTGATACATACACTATATTGAGAGTTATTTTAAATTTTATTTTAACTCAAAATAGATAATCCAATCCGGCTATTCTCGTTAAAACGTATATGAATAAAAAATTATCTCGATAGTAGCAAGCCAACTGTCAAAATAAGAATAAGAAGGAAATAAGACAATAAGTAATCATTAGAACGTCGTAACATTCATAATTCAGTCATTTTTGGAAAAATTTTATTACCTTTCACAATCTATCGATAAAACTATCGACAACAACTACTTAACTACATAATTATTTTAAATTTTATGAAAATTTGCAACCCTGCAAATGTCATTTTACCCAGTCTTTACAAAAGACAGACAATAAGTGCACATAAGAGCGTACCTTACAAATTTTACAATGTGTAGGGAGAGCTTAGGAGCTGGTGAAGTTGGAACATAATTTCTTTTTTCTTTTTTGAAGCGCTATATTTGACGCTAGTTTCAAAGTTATATTAATAAAACACATGCTGCCCCTAAGTTTCTTACCAGAGAAAAAAGAGAGAGCTCGAGTTACAGTGTTGCTACTAAAAAAACACAATGTGTAGAGCTATTACGACAGAGTTTAACCCTGTAGGGTACCCTACTCCATTATTAACTAACGAATGAAAAGGATTAAATAATTTTAAAAAACAAAAAGTAACAGCAAATAGAACGTTCAACATTTTAGACCGTGTTTGATTTAATAA